CAGCTGATACAGGGGGTGGCTGTGAGGATCAGAGACCAGTTGGTGTGGTGCACTGATTAGAAGCAAATGTGGGAGACTTTATATCTTATGTTATTGAGACAAGGAACGGGTTTATGAATCAAACTGTTGCCCTACATCTCACGGCCCCAAACACTTGTATTCTATATATGCATTCACAATTCCAGGGAGGATGCTTTCTGTATCTCACAGTCCCTAATTCCAAAACTCAACACAACAATAAAGTAAGAATCCTTGCACTTGATATAGTGCCTTATCACATCTGGAGGGTATTTGAGGAAATTCAGTTTAAAGTGCAATCAATAATTTGTCTCAAATTGGCTTCTTAACCCCACTGATGATTGAGGAACAGCTCAATTATGTATGTATCCCACTAAACAGGTCATTTAACACGCATTCCTTCATCTGTAATAGACAATTAAAACCATTAAGTCAACTCTCTTTTTGAAATGCTCCATTTCATATCATCTTTATACCTTCTTTCAACTCCCCTGGCCTGATAGACAGAAGATTGCTATCCCCTTCATGATCTCACAGTAAAGCTATTTTCAGATCCATGGAATTGTGATATTGTAAGATAGCAGATATTCAATAATGAGTAAAAAAATAATTTTTTTTTCTACTTTTTTTCCCCTGTTTTTTCCCTCCCCCAATATTGTTTCCTGTGCCGAATCTGTGAAGCCAGTTTATTCTTCAACATAGGAACATAGGAACATAGGAACAGGAGTAGGCCACTCAGCCTCTAAAGCCGATTCTGCCATTCTATTAGATCACAGCTGATCCATCTTTGTCCAAGTAATCCATAGTTAATACATTGCAAAATATTAAATCTAAATCACATATTTAGTATTAATTAAAGAGTGCATTTTGGAATTATCTGCCGCATAACAGACTTGTTCTCCTGCTTTGGCATCTCTTTCATTCTGAAACTATCTCCTGGAGGTCTTTTGAGGAACAGGACCTGGTATTCAATCCACCCACAAAATGTAAATACACTTTTTGTGCCCATTTACTGTGTAAATGTACTCCTCGTCCTGCTCGACCTATCGGCAGCATTCGATACGGTCGACCACGCTATCCTACTCCACCGCTTGTCCTCCCACCTCAACTTTCAAGGCACTGTCCTTGAGTGGTTTAGGTCGTACCTTTCTCACCGTCTTCACTTTGTCTCTACAAATGGCTTCTCCTCCACCCCCCGCACTGTCTCATGTGGTGTCCCTCAGGGCTCTGTCCTCGGTCCCCTCCTCTTCACCCTCTATATGCTCCCCCTTGGTGACATCATCCGCAGACATGGAGTTAACTTCCACATGTATGCGGATGACACCCAACTCTACCTTTCCTCCTCTACTCTCAACTCCACGACCACCGATGTCCTGACAGCTGCCTGTCTGACATCGAGTCTTGGACGAGAGACAACTTTCTTCAGCTCTTCGTGCGAAAAACCGAGGCCCTCCTGATTGGCTCACGTCAGCGCCTCCGCACCTCAGGGGCCGACACCATCAGCATCCAAGGCTGCACTCTCCACCTCTCAAAGCCAGTCAGGAACCTCGGGGTTTTGTTCGACCCTGAGCTGTCCTTTCTCCCTCACATCCGCACCACAATTGGCACCGCCTTCCATCACCTCCGGAACATCGCCAGACTACGGCACTACCTCACCCCTCACGCTGCTAAAACCCTGGTTCACGCCTTTGTCACCTCAAGGCTGGACTATGGAAACTCTCTCCTCGCCGGCCTTCCCACCACCTCCCTCCACAAGCTGCAGGTCATTCAGAATTCTGCAGCTCGTGTACTGTCCCGCACCAGGCTTCGGGACCACATCACTCCCACCCTCGCTCGCCTCCACTGGCTCCCCATCCCCCAGAGGATTGATTTCAAGATCCTCATCCTCACCTATAAGGCCATCCACGGCCTTGCTCCCTCCTACCTCTCTGACCTACTATCCCCCTACCTACCTGCCCGTACCCTCCATTCCTCCGCCTCCGGTCTGCTCCACGTCCCCCGCCCCAATCGCCCTACCATCGGTGGTCGGGCCTTCAGCCTCTCAGCCCTCAGGCTCTGGAACTCCATCCCCCAGTGCCTTCGCCTTGCTTCCTCCCTCTCCTCCTTCAAGGCCGGTCTCAAAACCTTTCTCTTTAACCGAGCCTTCAGCTCCCCTCTCGACTCTCTTCCCCCTCCTCGCTCCCTCCCTTCCCTCCCCTCACCCTGACCATTTCCCCCCTCCTTGCTCCCTCCCTTCCCTCCCCTCACCCTCACCATTTCCCCCTGCTCGGGTCCTAACCCAACTGTGCAGCGCCTTGGGACGTCCTCCTGACGTGAAAGGCGCTTTATAAATGGAATCTTGTTGTTGTTGTTGTTGTTGTTGTAAATCCCACATCAAATATAGCTAAAAGGCCATAAGACTCCTTGTGATCTGTCCAAGGTCCTGAAAACGTCCTCAAGCGCTGAATTTCTGATCTTCCACCTGTGCATCCAGTGGCCAACTACAGAGTATGGGTTAGGGAGATCACAAAAAGAGGAGGAGAAAAAAGGTCATAAGAACTTTGCAATCAATGCTGTGAATACTATATATTAGATCCTATTAACAACCTAATGTTATAGCAGAATTTAATTGTGTGAAAAGTTTGGAAGTTTTACCTCTGGATATTTACTTACACTGGAAATTTAAATAAATTTAAATAAGAGAATCCCAAGTAGGGCACATTATGCAGAAGGAGAAGCCTTGACATACTAAGTAAAAAAATTTATGTTTTATTTATGTACACAGCAATCCATGAGCAATGCATAAGTATTAGCCTGGCTCAGTTGGCCGCATTCTTGTCTCTGAGTCAGAAAGTTATGGGTTGGTTCAAGCCCCATGCTCATGGTCTAGGCTGGCACTCTAATGCATTCCTTGGTGGAGTGCTGCATTGTTGAGGTGCCATCTTTCGGAAGAGACGTTAAACTGATGTATCATCTGCTTATTCCACAATTGTTAATTCCATGGCATTATTCGAAAAGTGAAGGGAGATTCTCTTGGTATCTTAGCAACAATCTCCCAAATAAAATTGATCATTCACTTCATGATAGTTTGTGGAACGTTTTTGTGCACAAATTTGTTGCCACAAATTTGCCTACAAAAATATACAGTCACTGAAACATCAAAGATGAGGATAATAATCTATAACATGATACATATTTTTATTAAAGTCCTCCTTTGAATGACTATAAATGTGATCCATGCTTCAATCCCTGCTCCAGTGCCTAGAATTGTGAAGATTTTGATTAGATCTTTATGAATGACCTGAACAACAGGATACATAAGAATGCAGCTAGCAGGAATGTCTTGAGGCATTTAAATCATTTTTCATACCACTAAACATCACTCCTGATCTCTCAGGCAGAATCCAAAGAATACATAATTGGATGAAATAAACTTGTTTCTCTCCTTAGGGGAAGAGGGCAAGGGAACAAGCTGTGGTCTGAGCTGATATGAAAATGTTTTTTGTATGAGAGGAATACATGTTTAAACATTTAAACCAGCATTCACCTCCCCCACCCCAACATATGTCTTTAAAAATATCAAATACAGATCCTAAAAGAGATGAGAATGTACAAAATGAGCAGATTAGAAAAAGGAAATGAGATAGCCAGACAGTATTTTCTGACATGGGTTATTATGCCCCAAACTACTCATATATTTGTTTCATAATGCATTTATTACAAATATTGATGGAGCTGGCTTGAAACTTATTTCCATAGGTATAGGCATATAGGTGGAAAGCTTCTTTTCTCTTATACAGCTCTTTCATGACAAATAATATTGTCTCTTACAATAATATTGTATTCTCTGCTCCTCTCCTGAAAATAATGTCTTATTTTGTGCCACGATTTCTCAGGCTCCAGAAGCCATGTAGAATACATAATTAAAATAAGCATTAATATTTTAGCCTGCATAGGAATATCAACAGTGTCGGCAAGAATTTCTGAACAGTGATCAGGTGTGGGATATCCTGTCGTGAGACCAATTGTTTAGCACCCTTCTCTCTCACAAACAAAATTACTGAACTCAGCACAGATTGAGGTCCTTCCCTGGCCTTATCATAATACATTTGCCCAATGAATTATTGAAAAACCTTGAACTGAGAAGGGGGAAAGGCAAACCAGAAAAATCTTTTTTAGTTTTTGTTCAAGTCCCAGATGTTAACAAACTGTAAATCCTGATGATAAATAAACTTGAAAAAAAGGAAAAAAATATCTATGCTTTGACTATTTTTGAGTTAATTCCATCCCCCAGTCACTCCGCCTCACCCCCTCCTTAGCCTCCTTCAAGTCCCGCCTCAAGACCCTCCTCTTCGACCATGCCATCGGCCACCCCCCTTCCCCTTCCCTCCCTTCTCCCCCACTGACCCTAGCTCGGATCTGAAATGCTGTACACAGTCCAGCGCCTTGGGACATCCTCCCGGCGTGAAAGGTGCTATACAAATGTAATCTTGTTGTTGTATTATTAATAAACTTTGAGCTACGGTATTGTAAATGCTGTTTCTATTGCTGTGCTACCTGTCACAGTGATTTTCTCCAACATACATTTTCTTTTGGCTAATTATTTTCCTTTGTTCAGACCCATGTTGCTGTTTAATTTTAGAACAAGCTCCTTTCAATAAATAAGAGATAAGATACTATCAGCTTCTAACTGAAGGATTATTAATGGGAATTGGATAGACACTTGAAGGGAAATATTACAGGATATAGGGAGTGAGGGGGATTAGACTTGTGTGGAGAACTGTTAACCAGCTAATGATTATCCTCCTTGGCAGAGGGGAATTTTCGAGGTGTCTCCTTGGAGTGTCCTAGCCTCCAAGGTGATTTGTTCGGTAGCAGAATGACCAAATAAAACTTGTGGAGAAAAACACCAATACTGAGTTAATAGAACGGTCTGTTTCTGTGCAGTAATATTTTGTGATTCTATAACATGCTGAATCTTACAATTCTCTTTGTTTCTGTAGTCACATTAGACCATTTCCAGATCTTAAGAGCTATTGGAAAAGGTAGCTTTGGGAAGGTAAGTAATTGTCATTGCTTTATCATCTATTATCCGTGTTAAACTTTTCAAATCATTTGTGCATTAGTTACAGGTGATTAAAAATGGAATGGCATACATTCCATTATAGGGATGCAAGCACTTTCCTTGAATAATAATCCCTCCAAAACAAAAAACAATAATAAATTGGTCATTTTCAATCTACGACTGTTTGTGGGACATTGCTGTGCACAATGGGCTGCCGCGTTCGCCCACAAATATACAGTCAATTCACTTTACAGTGTGTTCTGTGAAGCGCTTTGGGACGTCTAGAAGACGTGAAAAGTGCTATATCAAATGCAAGGATTATTATTATTATTATTAATACTGTGGGAAATAGAATCTTGAATTCAAGGGAACAATGAGGATCTGTTTATAAACCCAAGACCTAATTTACTCAATGAAAGAAGTATACTTCAAGTATATTTTTGTTCTTCCTTTGTCCCTGGGCTGTGAGACTCTGATGGCGATACTGTTCTATTATTCACATATTCTGTGAAGAGCTTTGAGACATCGAGAAGACGTGAAAAGCACTATATTAAATGCAAGGATTATTATTATTATTATTATTATTATAAAAGGGACATGTTTCCCTGAAGCCAGATTTCCATTACTTTAAGGGCCAGAAGCAATTGTCTCTTCTGCGTTTCAGACACAAGTTCAGTGACATAAATGTGGTTCAATCCCCAGTGAGTATTGAGCGAGTTGATCTCTGCCAGGGAAAGCATATGTGGTGTTGAAATTGCCCTCAGTTCCCCTGAGCTTGGGGTGGGGGTGGTGGGGGGGTGGGGATGGGATGTGGGGGGGTAGTAAAGGCCTGTAGATTTTGGGAGGAAGTGAAGAGTGAACAGTTCTACAGCGTTGGTATTCTGGGAATGGGTTATGATAAGGAAGAAGAGTGTGTAGGACAATGTATTTGGAGTTTAGGATCAACATTTAGAGCAGTATTGACCATAATAGGATTGATGAGATAGACGCTATCCTGTTTAAGGGGCGCTATATAATTGCAAGTTGCTGTTGTTGAAACACCTTAGCTTATTCGTATATAACACAATAGCCTCATTGCTCTACTTTACACGGCCTTCAAAAACACTACATATTCATCAAGCAAGAAAGTTATTGGGCCATATTTAGTGCTCCCGCCACCTTGGATTACCATTCCTTCTGCACAATGTATTAAAATAGCAAGAAATCCTTCTGCACAATGTATTATTAAGATAGCAAGAAACATTGTAATCCTTATCTGAAGTTGGTGAATGGATTTCAGCCTTGCAACTCCAGCTCATAAAGCTAATGCATACAACTCTAGGCTTAAATGGGGAGAGGGAGATTGTAAATTGATGTTTACATTTTGTAACTTTCACATCATCTGCTGTAAAAGAAAAGAAGGAAATTAAAATATTATCACAGCGATTTCACAATAATCAAGAAACAAACATAGGATTGCAAACAGCATATTAAAACATTGCTGTCTTCAGTGCTCCTGAATAATGCAACGTTAAGAAAAGCTGTGGTTGGAAGGTTGTTGAGCATCCTCTGGATGTTTGCCAGGATTTTCTGTCATTCTGCAATAATCTGTTATCACCACTATTTTCTTTACATAAAGGGTGGATGGAATGCAGAATGTTTTGCCACAATCCGCAGTTGAAGCTGAGTCCATTAACTTTTTTTTAGAAGCAAATTAGCTAAGTGCTTCAAAAAATAGGAATATTAAAGGGGAAGGAGCCTAAGAGTGGAATAGGATTAGTTGAACTTGAGGAGAAAAACATCATTGTAAAAATATTTAATGGCTCAAATAGCTGTTGTAACAATCTTCAGCCATGCATCTTTTTCTTCTGTGTGATCTGCAAGTAACCGCATAAAGAAGGAAAAATGCTCAAATGTCGTTTACTAACAAAAATGTGAATTAAATACAACTTGAGGAACAAAACCCAACAAACAACTGCGGGTTTAGTTTCTTTAATAATGGAACACTTAAGTTAACCACTAAAACCAGTAATCTATTCATTACAACTTTATAAAGTAAAACTATATCGGTATATTGTAAAGATATAGTGAAAACGTCACTATTGTTACAACAATAAAAATTACATTTGTATAGTGCCTCACGTCGGGAGGACATCCCAAGGCGCTGGACAGTCAATGTTTCGGACCCAAGCTGGGGGTTGGGATTGGGGAGTGTGGAGGGTGGAGGCTATGGGGGAAGGAGAGTGATCGAAGGCATGGTTGAAGAGGAGGGTCTTGAGATGGGTCTTGAAGGAGGCAAGGGAGGGGACGAGGTGGAGGGACTGCGGGATGGAGTTCCTGAAGGTGGGGCCCGGCAGTGGCTGAAGGCCGGCCCGGCAATGGTGCGGCGGGCGAGGAGGGAGATTTAAAGCAGGCTGGAGCCGGCTGAGCAGAGGGAGCGGGCAGGTTGATAGGGAGTTAGGAGGTTGCAGAAGCTATGGAGGGCTTTGAAGATGAGGATCAGAATCTTGAACTGTATCCTCTGTGTGATGGAAAACCAGTGGAGTCAGGCGAGGATGGGGGTGATAGGGTCGTAGAGCCTTGTGCGAGAGAGAGGACATGGGCTGCAGAGTTCTAGATGATCTGCAGCCTATGGAGGGGAGGCTGACAAGCAGGGAGTTTGCATAGTCATGCAATGTGGTCAACATTATCGAAGGCAGCAGAGAGGTCAAGGAGGACGAGGAGGCAGAAGGAGCCCTGGTTCTAGATGGACAGAATGTCATTTGTCACTTTGACCAAAGCTGTTTCTGTGCTATGGGTGGCACAGAAGCTCGATTGGAGGGGTTCGTGATGCGAGTGGTGGGAGAGAAAGAAGTAAAGTTGGGCAGCAACGACTCATTCCAGGACCTTTGAAAGGAAATTGGAGATGGGGCAGTAGTTGAGAGCAGGGATGGGTCCAGGGAGGGATTTTTAAAGATAGAGTGATGTCGGCCATTTTTAAAGGGGTGGGAACGGTGCCAGTGGACAGGAGAGGTTTATGATGTCTGTGAGTAGAGGGACAAGGAGGTGGAGCTGGGTGGTAAGGAAAGGGGTAGGGATGGGGCGAGGGAGCAGGCAGTCGGTTTCATGTGTGTTATGTATAGTGATGGTGAGAGAGGAGTGGGAGACAGGTTCGAAGGTGTGAGTGGGGGATGGGTAGGAGCCAGGGTGTGAGTGGAAGATGGGGAGGAGGTAGTAGACGGAAGAGCAGAGGCGGCTGAGCTGATCTCCTCTTCTTTGGTTTCGAGGAAGTCCAGCATTGCCTCGTTGGCAATCAGAGTAAGGCAGACTTCTCTAAGAATAAATGTCTCTTGCAGTATGTGGTGCATTGAAGCAATTTGGAGATAATTTCTACAGCTTACTGCTTTGTACTAATTGTCCTTATGATTAAAACCAGGTTTGCATCGTACAGAAGAAAGACACAAAGAAGATGTATGCTATGAAATACATGAACAAACAGAAGTGTGTGGAACGCAATGAAGTGCGGAATGTATTTAAGGAGCTGCAGATCATGCAAGGCTTGGAACATCCATTTCTCGTCAATTTATGGTAAGTTTTTTTTATCAAAAATGGCTTTCAGGTAACTCTAGAAAGTTCCAGTTTAGAAACAGTTCAAATCAGTCTATGTCTTTAAAAATGGTCTATTGTTAAGTAATTTTGAAAATTTGATTCTACTCATGTGATGCCCAGTACTACTGATCACTACAGGACAAAATCAGAAACATGAGGATATGGCCTTATTGGAATTATTATATACTAACTGTACCCATTGCAACTTCGCTTGCAACCAAAAGATCCAATATGGAATGTAGATTGACACATACACAGACACATAGGCAAGACATTTTGTCTTTATCTATATTCAGCTGGGAGGACTCCTGTGGGAGGACTCCTTTTGGAAGGACTCAGTGGGAGGAATCCTTTAATATATTTTCTCTCACAATTTCTCAGTCTCTTTGTCTCAGGCTCTCTCTCTCTCTCTCTCTCTCTCTCTCTCTCTCTCTCAGTCCCTCTACCTATCTCAATCCCTCTCAGGCTCTGTCTCTCTCCCAGACTTTCTCTCTGTCTCTCTCAGTTTCTCTCACTATCTCAGTCACTCTCTCTCTGTCTCTCTCTCAGTCTCTCTCTCTGTCTGTCCCACAAGGGAGGACTCTAGCTCTCATGACAACTAGAAAAAAGTGCCATACATTTGTTGCAGAATATAGAAATATCTCTCTGCATGGTTTGGGTGTTCCTCTGTCACTACATAGTTGCAGAATACGATGCATACCTCATATGTTGGAGCTTATTTTTTAATAATACTCATCATGATAGGAAATTCCCCCCCAAAATATGCCCATGACTCCTTTCAAGACCTTTCCGATGAGTATAAATCATGTGTCTACATCAATCGGTTATTGCATGATTGACAGATACACAAGACAGATGCACAAACACAAAGGTAGACCCCCTTTATTAGTATAGATTTCATATTAAATTAATTGTGAAATTAATATCTTTAACACATTTTCATTATTATCCAACTGACACCAGCTCACACCTGCTTAACTCAGTGAGAGCGGTTGTACGCTACCCAAATATTGATAAATTCACCCAATTCGTGGGTGTAAAAGGTACCTTCCTAAAAAGGTTCAAACAATTATGGATGGAGGAAGCAGAGTGTCGGGCAGGGGATCTGGAAAATGTCCTATTATCATAGACACCCCTAACATTACTTTCCAGGGTTATAATCCCTCAAAGAAAAATGTGGTCACTGAATTCACGACTGCTATGCGCAAATGGCTGCTGTGATTCGCCCACAATATATACAGTGAATTCACTTAACGGTATATTCTGTGAAGCGCTTTGAGACGTCTCAACAATGTGTTAAGGTGCTTTTTCAAAAGCAAGGAATATTATTTCAAATGGACATTGTTTGGCTGGAAGCCACCGTTCTGCAAAATAGCCTTTCCTTACATTTACACAATTTACTGTAATGCTACTGACTAGCAGAACCACTTGAGAATACTTGGCAGAAAGGCAGGTGGGGAGTAGCTGTGTTAAACAGTTTCTAGATTACTAGCATTAAATAGCTGATGATTCCTGTCCCTCCAGAAAAGAAAGATTGCAGCTTTTGTGACTTTTTTTCCTCCTCGGCTGTTGTTCCTCACGTAAACAATCAGAAAACATCATCCCTGGAGACTCTGAATTGTTTTGTGTTTTTTNAAAACAGAAAATTAAATTAAGGTTTGGGAATATTTTGAAGCTAATGGTGTTTTATCACAAATCCATCCCCAGTTGATTTTCGCATGCTCCTTCATATAACTGATGATGTGAATTTTCCAAGGGCATAGAATGACCTGATGTTAATGGGCATTTGCCAATATTTTGCAGATTGAAGCTAATAATGACTCAGTCTTTCTTTGTCCATGATCGTATTATATCTTGGGATTATAGATGAAAAGAAACTCAAATGAGACTGAAATTTAATTTCCTGTGTCTTCCTTAACAAGAAAAACATAGGGTTGCCAAGCACTGTTGAGTTCCTTCAGTAAATATACATGATCTAATTTTAAGAACGCAAGTCTGGATATCCAGGAGAGATGCTGGGACGAATCAGGGAGTTCACTTTAAGTTTCTCAGGTCTTTCTGAAGTTTCAATTTGCTTGGGTTTTAGTTTTTGTATTGGGATTTATTTCGATCCAATCTCAATTTCATTTTAAAAATATCTCAGTCAAGAATTCTAAGTTTCTCACTTAAATACATTTTCGAGACATCTAGTATGGCTTATCTGATCTCTCAGAGTTTTAACTTTGGCTTCATTTGGTATCTAAAATTAATGTTTAGGTTTAAGATGTATTTTGAAGGACTTGCCATTTCACCAGTCATTTAAGCCAGTTGTTACACCTCATCTCTTGTATTCACAGGTATTCATTTCAGGATGAGGAAGATATGTTCATGGTGGTGGACCTTCTTCTGGGTGGGGATCTTCGCTATCACCTGCAGCAGAATGTTCATTTTAAGGAGGATGCAGTGAAACTTTACATTTGTGAGCTGGTTCTGGCATTGGATTACCTACAGAGTAAGCACATCATTCACAGGTCAGTGTGAGCCCGAATTTATGTGAAACACCTTCTAAGGGTGATCTTATTCCTGGCATAGACAGTTATGAATGCAGTGATCTTCACTTTCAGGTGGTCAATATTACATTAGACCAGTCTAGAGGAGCTTATCGTCATTACTGCACAGTGAAGCCTTCCTGCTTTAAAACGCATTGTTACAGTACTGAAATAGTCTCGTACATAACCACACCAGAAAGCAATCCATTATTGGTCACTGGAGAAGGTCATTCACTCACAATACATTTTTAGAAGATTTTTGGTTGTTTTATTAAATCAATGTTGGAGTATATTAAAAGCACAAAGGAAACAGTGATGCCATAATGGAATTGTTTTTCAAAACGGGTGAAGCATGCATAGAAAGCTCAGCATAGGAGGAAAACAGTCAGCCTAAAGTGCCTTGTGGAGCTAGATCTACACTTGTTTATTCTAATTATATTTCCTTCTTTGTCTCCAAATTCTTCTCTAATATTAGTTCTTTATGTATTTCCTTTGAGCAACCAATCCAACTTCCCAAACAATTCCTTCAATCTCATTTTAAAAATCCTAAATCCTTTTAATTTCCAGAATGTCTGGCTCATTTTTAAAAAAATTTATGGTTTCCCCGTTCTACCACCTCTGCACATGTTCTATCAGTTTATTCTGAGAATGTGTAATGCTTACATTTGAAAGTGCACCTTTCACACCTGGAGGACTTCTCAAAGTGCTTTGCAGGATATACTCTGAAGTGTAGTAACTGTGCATTTCATAGGCAAATACAACAGTTAATATTGTGAATAAATTAATTTCCTCTGATTTCTGAGAATTATCTCCTATCTGTTCTGATGCACAGTATTAGAGAGACCATGAGAGCTTCAAAAATTAATAGTACAATTGAGGTTTGAGACTTAAAAGATTGTGGGTAATTGATCACAAAAACTGCAATGGAAACAGCAGGAAATGTGAACCCTGACATTTCTCACTAGCAAATCTTTTTGCTGATTTATTTTTCTGCAGGTCTCAATTCTGTCAAAATGCTAATAATCTATAATAATAATATAATCTGTACTAATGACTTGCGATAGAGGTAAGAAAATAAATTGTGAAAACCAGAGACAAAAAATAAAAATGGAAAATGTTAGGAATGTACTGGTCAAACATCAATTTTGACTTTCATGTCGGTGAAAGCCATAAAGACAATGTAGATCACCAAGCAAGGAGGATAGGACAGGAGGGCAGATTTCAAGATATTCACCAAAGGCACAAATAAATATGTTTAAGGATTTAAGGATACAAGGCAAAGGGATTTGGGGGAGGGAAACATCTGAAAAATATGTTAAATAAATATGTTTAAGGATTTAAGGATACAAGGCAAAGGGATTTGGGGGAGAGAAACATCTGAAAAATATGTTTGGGTTAACAACTGAGGTGAGTGCGCCCAGTTTCCCAGAAGCAGGTAGCTATGAGCTGGCTCCCACCGAAGGCATGTAGTTTTATCCGATTATTGGTGATACTGAAGCAGCCTAACACAGGAGGAGATCTGGAATTCCAGATCTCTGGTTTAGAGATCTGGGATTCCAGATCTCCTCCTGTGAATCTTCATGATCCGGGTTATTTTCCCAAGAGCAGAGAGCCCAGCAGTGTGAGGAGGGAACTGAGAGAATTTTGTTAAGGAATTTGTGAGAGTGGGAATTTGGTGCAGAGCAGGAAAGAGGTGCATAATTATAAAATCTATAGGTGATATTAAAATAATATACATGTCTGAGAATATGGCAGGGCAGCTGAGACCGGTTGCCTGCACAATGTGTGCCATATGGGAACTCCAGGATGCTATATGTGCCCTGGACACACACATGTGTAGGAAGTGCCTCCAGCTGCTCGAGCTGGAGCTCAGGATTTCTGAACTTGAGGAGAGGCTGGTGTCACTACAAAGCATACAGGAGGCTGAAGAGTTCATGGATAGAACGATTCAGGAGGTGGTCACCCCACAACCACAGAGGGTTCAGAAGGAGAGTGTGTGGGTGACCACCCGGCCTGGTAGAAAGAGGGGACAGGCAGTGCAGAAATCCCCTGTGAATGTAGCACTCACAAACCGGTTCTCTGTACTGAATGGGGATGACACCTCTGGGGAGGGGAGTCAAAGCAAATGGATGCACAGGGGGACACAGGGAAGAGCATCAATGCAATTATCATTGGGAACACAATGGTGAAAGGAGTAGACAGGCGTTTCTACAACCAGAGATGTGACTCTCACGTGGTATGTTGCCTCCCTGGTGCCAGGGTTGAAGACATCATGGAGCGGGTGCAAACGTTCTACAGGGGGAAGGGGAACATCCAGAAGTCGTGGTCTATGTTGGGATCCATTACATAGGGAAAAAAGGGCTCAGATCCTACAGATAGACTATCAGAAGCTAGGGAAAAAGCTGAAGAATAGGACCTCAAAGGTGGTGATCTCTGGATTACTCCCAGTGCCTCATGCAAGTGAGTATCAAACCAGCAGGATCAGATACATGAATGCATGGCTGGAGAAATGGTGCAGAAAGAAGACCTGCCCCATATCCGTCAATACCCTGACCTAACAAATATCTATCCATCTTGAAGATGTGTATTGATCCAGCATCCACAGCCTTTGGGGGAGAGAGTTCCAGATTTCCACTGCCCTTTGGGTAAAAAAGCTGCCTACTAATTTCACTCCTAAATGGCCTAGCTCTAATTTTAAGATTATGCCCCTTTGTTTCGGATTCCCCCACCAGAGGAAATAGTTTATATGTATCTACCCTATCGTAATCCCTTTATTATTTAAAAAATTCTCAATCAGATCACCTCTGGACCTTCTAAACTCAAGGGCATAGATACCAACTTTATGCAGTCTGTCCTCATAATTTAACCCCTTTAGCCCTGGTATCATTCTGGTGAATCTGCGTTGCACCCCCTCCGGAGCCAATATATCCTTCCTGAGGTGCGGTGGCCAAAACTGAACATAGTACTCCAGATGGGAGTCTGACCAATGTTCTACTTGGTTGAAACGTGGAGTCCTGTAGCTCAGTGGTTAGAGCACTCGCTTTGCAAGCGAGAGACCTGAGTTCAATTCCAGGCAGAGGGCGAAACCTTGGGCAAGTTTCCTTACTCCACACGCCTAATAATAATCCCTCCAAATACCAAAAACAATAATAAATTGGTCATTTTCAATCTACGACTGTTTGTGGGACATTGCTGTGCGCAATTGGCTACCGCGTTCGCCCACAAATATACAGTCAATTCACTTTGCAGTATGTTCTGTGAAGCGCTTTGGGACGTCCTCCCGACGTGAAAAGCGCTATATCAAATGCAAGGAAAAAAAACAAAAAAAAAACAAAACATCATTTTCAACATGAATGCTGCCAGAAATGCTGGTCCCACATCATGGAGAGTTCACATTGAATTTCACATTGATCAAATGCCCTTAGGGACTTCTAAAGAATAATGCAGAGCAGATGTTCACAGTACTGACTAGTTTCCCATTGGAATCAGAACTGACTAATTTATTGCAAATGGAGGCAGCCTGCATTGCAGCGTTTCACATTTAAAGTCTGGAAACAGTTTTTAATTAGTTGATTTCCAGAGAGTCAAATATAAAGCAGAACAAACATTAAATTAACCGACTTTTGTGTCCAGGGAAGATAAAATTTTGGAGGAATACTCAATTCTATAGAATATTCCTATCCTGTACATCAAACTGGCACCTTCCTCCACTCAGCGGGCACCAGCCTGCTTCACATTACCTGCCCTACCATTAACAGTCAGGCTTTCAGCATATCTGTCCCCACTCTCTGGAACTGCTTCCCAGAGACACTGTGGCTCATTACTTCCCTTGCCTCCTTCAAGATCTGCTTAAATACCTTCCTCTTTGACAATCATCTTTCCCCCCCTCACCCCCAACTCCCTCGGCCCCCATCCCCATCTTGCGTGCAAACCCTGGACTTTCTAGTGCCTTAGGACATCCTCCTGACATGAAAGGTGCTATATAAGTGCAAATTTGTATTACAACAACAACAACAACAAGATTCCATTTATTGAGCGCCTTTCACGTCGGGAGGACGTCCCAAGGCGCTGTACAGTTGAGTCAGGACCCGAGCAAGGGGGAAATGGTCAGGGTGAGGGGAGGGAAGGGAGGGAGCGAGGAGGGAGTAGAGAGTCGAGAGGGGAGCTGAAGGCACGGTCAAAGAGAAAGGTCTTGAGACCGGCCTTGAAGGAGGAAAGGGAGGAGACAAGGCGAAGGCACTGGGGGATAGAGTTCCAGAGCCTCGGGGCTGAGAGGCTGAAGGCCCGGCCACCGATGGTAGGGCGGTTGGGGCGGGGGATGTGGAGCAGACCGGAGCCAGAGGAACGGAGGGTACGGGCAGGTAGGTAGGGGGATAGTAGGTCGGTGAGGTAGGAGGGAGCAAGGCCATGAATGAGGATGAGGATCTTGAATTCGATCCTCTGGGGGATGGGGAGCCAGTGGAGGCGAGCGAGGGTGGGAGTGATGTGGTCCGAAGCCTGGTGCGGGACAGTACACGAGCTGCAGAGTTCTGAATGACCTGCAGTGTGGAGGGAGGTGCCGGGAAGGCCGGCGAGGAGAGAGTTCCCATAGTCCAGCCTTGAGGTGATAAAGGCGTGGACCAGAGTTTCAGCAGCGTGAGGGGTGAGGTAGTGCCGTAGTCTGGCGACATTCCGGAGGTGATGGAAGGCGGTGCCAGTTGTGGCGCGGATATGAGGGAGAAAGGACAGCTCAGGGTCGAACAGAATCCCGAGGTTCCTGACTGGCTTTGAGAGGTGGAGAGTGCAGCCTTGGATGCTGATGCTGTCAGCGCCTGAGGTGCGGAGGCGCTGACGTGAGCCAATCAGGAGGGCCTCAGTTTTACGCACGTTGAGCTGAAGAAAGTTGTCTCTCGTCCAGGACTCGATGTCGGACAGGCAGCTGTCAGGACATCGGTGGTCGTGGAGTTGAGAGTAGAGGAGGAAAGGTAGAGTTGGGTGTCATC